GTGGGTCCTGTTGGACCCCTAAGCCTGTTCTGGTGGCGTCCAAGTCCCATCCTTGGTTCCCTTCCTGTCTGGCGGGCACGCTGCTGTGAGCACGGGGAGAGACAAAGCTGTGTAGGAGCAGGCAGGAGGAGGGGAGCGGCCGGGGGGGGGGGGAGGGAGGGAGGGAGGGAGCAAGGGAGGCTGGGGGAGGGGAGGGGTGCTGATCTGGACCCAGGAGACCCAAAGGGCACCTGAGGTGGGAGTCGGGGGAAACACGGGCCAGAGGTGCCCACTGCAGGCCTCTCAAGGGGGCAGCTAGAAGCAGGTCCCTAAGAGAGCCGCAGGATGCCAACTGTACCAGAAAGGCTAAAGGCCTTAGAAAATGCACCACTGGCAGTGCAGGCAAGCCATGGCCTGGGAAGACGAAAGTCACAGGAGACATACTGTGGACACATGACCTTCGTGAATGAATGAATGGGAGGCCTTCTCTAAGAGAGGACCCCTAGTAGATAGAAATTTTTGGATTTTTTTTTTTTTTTTGGACAGGGTCTCAATATATAGCCCAAGCTAATCTTGAACTTGCCAACCTGCCTCAGCCTCCTGAGTAGCTGAGATTATAGGCGTGCACCTCCTTGCCTAGCCCTCTAGCAGAAACTTTGTGAGAGGATCATCGCATCGGTAACAAATCCCTGCCTGTTTAAAAGCACTTAAGGCCTACTGCCAGCCTCCCACCTGGCCTAGGAGCCCAGGCAAGACCACACAGGTCCATGGCCAGGCCCCAGGCTTCCCATTGCTGCTCACCTGTGTAACCTCAGTGGCACCTTTTCCCCTAAGCTCTTGTCGCTGTGGGGATACTTCCCAGGCATGGTCCCTTGCCCCAGGGGGCCGGGGGCCAGATTATAGTCCAGTGTGTGGTTCTGCTGTTTGCCACAGTTGGACTTGTCCAGATCACAATCCACCTCCAGCTCCTTCTTCTGGTTTGTATTCTTGAGCTGGGCGGCAGGGATCAGGTTATCCTTCTGGAAGTCCGACAAGTTGTTCATGGCCTCCCTCCTGCCATCGTCTGGCCGCCGAAGCCGCAACTGGCGCACAGCCACTGCCACCATGCCCAGCAGCACCAGCACCACCACCAGCCCCACGCCCAGGGACACAGCCACCCAGGGGAAGCTGGGCGGCAGGCCCACAGGGAACTCGCAGCGGCTGCCCACAAAGCCGTAGGGGCAGTTGCACACGAAGTTGTCGGGGGAGAGGCCAGTGTAGCAGGTGGCCCCGTTGAAGCAGGGCCCAGAGGCACAGGCATCGCTGGGTGTCCGCACCTCGCAGCGCATGCCAGAGAAGCCCACAGGGCAGGTGCACACGATCCCATTCTCCAGGCCATGGCAAGTGCCACCATGAGCACAAGGCTGGCGGGTGCAGTCGCTGATGGGGTGTTCACAGTGGGGGCCTGTGAATCCGGGACGGCAGCGGCATATGCGGCTTGTACCTCTGTTCAGACACTGGCCCCCTGTGAAGACACACAGCGTGCAAGTCAGCAACGACCTGGGAATCCCCTGGCACACTGGGTGGGGGCTGTCTCTGGAGCGTGCTTCTGCCTCCATGCACACCACCAGCACAGACAAAGCCTGCCTGCTCGCTGCAAAGAGCCGTGCAGAATCAGCAGACCGAGAGTTTGGGGCGACCCTGCTTCTCTGCACCTCAGTGGGTTCGTGCAGCTACCATCTTACAGAACTTTAGAGTAAAACGGAGATACCTGTGTTTGAACCTCAGCCAGCCCTCTCAAATGGGGACCTGGCACCTGGCACTTTATCCTGTCCCTAACCCTCAAGTCTCCACATTTGCCAAAGTAGGGTAGAATATTGCTGACTTCACAGGCTAGCTCTGAGGGTCAGGTAGGAAGGCGCTCGAAGGCCAGAGCACATAAGGGCACAGAGTAAATGCACAACTAAACATAATTATCATCCTTTCGTTTTGTCCTCACAACCACATCAAAGACAGACAACAGATACTGACTGTATCACACTTCCCTGTTCAGTGATGTAGACTAACTGTGGCTTGAGGGAGTCAAGGGAGAGCAAGAGCAGACTCCATCCCACACTTCCCAGCCCCTCTCAGCTCTGAGCTTCTCTTCTCCATGGTGCTATGTGCTTGCATTGCCGTCACCAGGGCCAAGGAGACAAGGACTGCTCAAAATATGCTGGGCAGTCTAGATGCCACACCGAGCGCCATGTGGTTGTGGGGAAGACGAGACCTCCAGGAGCAGGGCTCTGTCTGTGTCTCCAGCCCTCTTGAGGAGGGAACTAAAGCCACCAAGAGCCCTCTCTCCAGCACAGGACTCCCCAGGGAAGGTCGAGGCCACCCTAGGCAGCTCAGGGCTGTGACATGGAAACAGGAGTAGAAGTCACACCTGGTGAACACCACCACCTCTCTTAGACCTGCTGCTAACCTGCTCTCCTCCAAATCCTCAGCTGATCAAGCCAGCTCTTCACCTCCAGAGAAAATGGTAGCCACTCTCCAACCAGCAAGAATGCTAAGTCCCTCGAAGGCACTCTTTCCACAGAGCCAGTGAGCCAGGTTAACAGGCCTTACTCACCATTGGCACAGGGGTTGCTGGTACACCTGTCCACTTTCTTCTCGCAGTTTGAGCCAGTGAAGTTGGGAGGGCATTCACAGGCATAGCTGGCCCCCTGGTTGCGCTCCCGGCAGGAGCCCCCATTAAAGCAGGGGGAGTCAGAACAGGTCAATGTGCTATGCTCACAGTGCAGGCCATAGTAGCCCGGGGGGCATGAGCAGTGGTAGCCATCCTCCTGGTCCTGGAGAGACACGGTAAAGGGACAAAGTCAGACTCTGGCAGACAGGGGGCAGGGGACATCATTGGGGGATGGGTTCCACTTGCCCACAGTGCCGGTCCATGGCTCCAGGGCTTTGGCTGCTTAGGCTGGGCCAGCCAAGATGCTGCCTCAATTGTACCTCTGTCTTTTGGCACTCACCTTACAGCTGCCCCCATTGCGACACGGGTTGCTGTCACACTTGCTGAGCTCCAGCTCACAGTCGATGCCGGTGTAGCCTGGTCGACAGGTACAGGTGTAGCTCCGCTGCCCACTGTTGGAGCACGTGGCCCCGTTCTTGCATGGGGAGTGGTGAGTACAGTAGTTGAGATCTGCAGAGACAGGAATCAATGAGCTTGTGCTTTTTGGCTCCTTACACTGTCATTTCACCCCCACAAACCCAAGAAGCTGCAAGTCAAAGCCCCCTGGCCCTAAATACGCTCCCCACGCAACAAAGTCATGTAGAGTGCAGCATCTGGAGCCATGTGTGAGTGGTGCATTTAATCAAGGTTGCTGAGACAGACAATGGCCTCCCAGGTGAGCTCATGAACACCACCACTGAATTCAGTAAGAATAGGAAAGGAGGAGGGGAGGGCAAGCCTGCAGGTGAAGGAGTCAGAAAAGCCTTCATGGAGGAGGGTCTGCTGAGATAAGCCTGGAAGGAAGGGTAAAATTTCAGCAGGTGGCCTGCAGGGGAGGTGAGAGCCACCATAGGTGGTAACCAGACATTTTAAAAAGGAAGAGGCTTTAAAAAGGTATCTGGGAGTATAAGTATTTGTTTTCTTATTGGGAAAGAACAGAAAGGGAGAAGCAGACAGCAAATGTAGGGACTGTGAGGTTGTTTGCATATGACCAGTATATATATGAGTGTCACCTGGGAACGAGTGTGCACAGAGGAGAGGGAATGAGTGGGAACCAGGTGTGTGTGTTGGAGAGGGGCAGAGAGAGAGAGGGACATGCACACACATGGAGAGCACAGGGACTGTGCCATGCTCCTGAAAACATCCAGTCAGGGCCTAGGCAAGTCTCTTTCAGCCTGGCAAGCCTGCACACCCTCCCCGGGCCCGTGTGGAGTCCCCACGGCAGGAGGCATCCCTCTTGACCCTGAAAATGGGAGGTGCACGCTGCAGCCGGCTACGAGCACACAGAAGAAAGGCTTCGCTCCCCTAAAGTCAGGACGCTGTGCAGACAGAAGAGTGACTAACACCAAACACCAGGTAGAGAGATTGTGGGGCTCAGGCAGCTGCCTGAGTGCCATTGGGAGAGAGCAAGGGAAGCTCTTTGTGTCCGCATCTAAAAGTCAGTTAGACGTCCCTTCCTCCACTCAGAGGCCCAGCTCAGCCACAGTTTGGGCAGCCAGCGGGCACACCCCACCAGACAGCTGTTTAGGGGAGAGCTGCTCAAACAGCCCTGCAAGGTAAGCAAACACTCAGAGGGTTAATAGGTAACTACAAGGCAGAAAGAGGAACTAAGCCTAGCATCCCTCTCTTTGGCCTTGCTAGAATTTATGAGGGCAACCTCCTGGCTGCCAATCTGTCACACCGCTGGCTTCTTCTGCCACTCTGACTCCCTAGCCCCTGGAGAAGAGGGATCTCATTCTAGGTCAGATGTTAAGATCCTTTAGAAGTCTCAAGATCTTTGAAGGATAATGGGAAAGCCAAGTTAGCAGTCACTGCAGAAAAAAGGTCTAGGCATGAGCTCTGGTTCCCAGCCCCTGCCCCCTCTGTCCCTCCCTGACTCACCTTGATCACAGAACAGGCCTCCCCAGCCCTCATGGCACGTACACTGCCAGGGGGTGCTGCAGGTGCCGTGGCGACAGCCATTGTGGGGAATACATTCGTTGCATAGGCGACCCTGCCAACCTGGGCGGCAGCTGTGGGAAAAGGGTTAGGCTGAGTGAGGCGAGAGGCCTGGCCAGGGAGGGCACCCCAACTCTCTGTCCCCTACTCACAGGCACTCTGCTGGCTTGCTGCAGTATCCGTTCTGCTCGTGACAGCCAGAAAGACAGATAGCTAAGGAAGGAAAACATGCAGGCTGAGGTCGGGATGCTTAGGACACCGATGCTCCACTCTCCCTCCACACCTGGGCGTGCCTGCTTCTCCTGGGCTTGCTTCCTACTCTGGGTCTCCAAAAGGAACCATGACTATCTTAAAGGAAAGGAAGGAGAGTCCATGCTGGGTGGAATGCTCTGTGGGTCCTTGTGGGCTTTGGCATGATGGGAGAAGCACCAGGAAGAGAGGGAGGTCCGAGCTGGAGCCTTCTCAGCATCTCCACTGGTCCTGGGCCACGCTCTGGGAGGGCAGACTATGGCTGAGGAGCACACCCTTGCCACACAGATGGGGCCCGGATGCTCACGCTGTTCGCAGTACTCCCCAGTCCATCCAGGCAGGCAGGACAGGCTGCCGTCCGGCTGGCACACATAGTGGCCGAAGTGGTCATTGCGTTTCTTGCACAGGCGCGAGCAACTGTCCCCATAGTAGTTGTCACTGCAGATGACCCGGTAGGAGTAGCGCAGCCTCGTGAGGGTGCTGGTTTGCTCATCTGGTAACCAGTTCTGACCCACAGGTAGGGAGCCCTGGATGGCGATCTTGCTGATGAGGGCATCTGGTGGCAAGGCCTCTAAAGGAGCAGAGACCAGGTCAGGGAAGGCCGCCTGCCTCCCCCCAGCTGTGGTTTTGCTGGCCAGCTGCAGATCTGCCTCTGTCCAGATGACCCTGGCCTGCCAGCAAGCATAGGGCAGAGGGACCCAAGAGTCCTGCTGCTTAGCTGCCCTGCGTGTGCATGTGCAGGGGACCTGATATCCTTCAAAACAGGGACAATGGAAGGATGTTAAGAGACCTCAGTGCTCTGGAGGCAGATAGCGAGGAGAAAAAGGAAAAGAGGTCACAGTGGAAAACATAAAAAGGGGCAGGGGGAGAGAAAGAAAAAGAAAAGCTTTCCAAGTGAGGAGCCTGGGGAGCAGGGTCCTCCGGTGCCTGCTCAGGGGTTCTGCTCCCAGAGGTAGGTAGTGGCTTTCTTTTTTTCCTTTTCAAAGTGAGAATTGTTGTGCTGCTGAAATATCCTTTTTCCTCTGTGTCAGAACAACATCCCAAAGCCATTATTCCCTTTCCAAAGGAGCGGAATTCGCGAAAGGTGTAAAATACAGGAAGGGGCCCGTCAGCGGCGCTGGCAGCTTCAGCCTTTCTCACTGCAGTGCTCCCCGCGTTCCCACGCCAAAAATAACCCGCAGGAAACGCAATTGTGCTCTGAGTCCAGGCAGCCAGCGGAATCTGAGCGTCCATCGCGGGGCGCAGCTCCGGGCCAAGCAAAGCGTCCTGCCCCCCACCCCAACGCTGCGCTTCCCCCACCTCGGACACGTTAACTCTTTCGGCGCTGCACCGTGTCGCCCCCCTGTGGCGGAGCAGCGAGACACTCACCTGGCCGCAGGTCGTCTCCTGGAGCGTGCCAAGCTTCAATGATGAGGGAGAAGGTGCCCTGGGAGGCAAAAGCGGGTGGGGGAGAGAGAGCGCGAGATGAGCTGGGCAGGAGGGAAGGGGTGCCTCGCCGCGGCCGGTTTAATTAATCTAATTGCAGGATACAGTTACTGCGCCCGGGTCCACATAACGGGTCTGCGTGTAGCGTGGCGCGAGCCGGGAAGGTGAGAGGAGATCCCAGGATCTGGGGAGGGATGAGGGTGGGGACGGTAAGGCGGGGCAGGGTGCTTGGTATTGAAAATCGCGTCCCAAGAGCTGGGGGAAGGGAGGCAAAAGACTGGGAAGCCAGAGACTGGCGAGTCTTCTCAGGGATGAGGTCCCAGGAGAGAGTTAAAAAGAAAGGGCATTTGGGGAGGGTCTCTGGAGAGGGTTTGGTCCCTGGGTGCTCCTTTCTTTGGCTTCTGAGACCCCCAGCTCGCCCAGGTTGTGCTCACCGGCCAGGTAAAATTGAAGGGCAGTTGAAGAGGGTTTCGGCCCCCGCCACTACTGTCCTCCTCGATGGCGAAGGAGTTGG